CTGCTGTGCTGTGCTGTCTTTAACCGTCACTGAAATGGCAACATGTGTCTCTATTATATTATATACAGAAAGCTTCAAGCTGTCTCATCATGAGTTACCAGGATGCCTTGGTAGAGGAACAAAATGTTTCTATGCCTACACCTCCCAAGCCCAAAGTCAATAACAATGTACTGTAAATGGAAGTGCAACCTATCTGTAGCTGCATGCAGGGCTCGAGCTTAAGGACGTCCCGTCGTCCCGGGGCCGAAAAAAATAGTGTCAGGGAGGATAAAAAATAATTTTGGGACGAGAGTTAAAATAAAAATACCCTGCTAACTCTACTACAAACGCAGATGAAAATGAAATCGACTGCACGTTGTGTGTAGCACAGCACACAGTTATTAAACCTCCTTGTCAACATAAACACACAAAACATTTAGCAACCCGCGAAACACACACACACACACACACACAGTACGTAAGCTGTGCCCATGGCTGTNGCCTCTGTACACCCCCTTCTATTTACATGTAATGGTTTTAATCCTGCCTCCTCCTCACATGTTTTCACTCTCTGCAAGTGCCGGTGCAGCACCGCGTTTGGAGGCAGGATTAAAACCATTACATGTAAATAGAAGGGGGTGTACAGAGGCTTTGGATAATTAACTTTTGGAAGAAAATAAGTTAAATTAATCGTAAGTTTAGTGAGTACTTTATCAATATAACGTTCTTTTAATGTTAATTATTGAGGATTGATGAAAGGTTACTTAAAAAAAAATGTCTTAATGTTCTAAACATTTTGGGGCCCCCGTCAGTCACGGGCCCTTAGAATCGTCCTAACTTTTCACCCCCTTACGGCGCCCCTGCATACAGTGAAAATAATGTTAACTATAAGTTATAAAATAACTCCTGATACATTTTGTTAAATATTTGTAACCCAACTTCTTTTGTGTCGGATAAATCTGTATTCTTATCATCATAGAAAACTGTGTTGTCTCTTACTGCTACCTGTAATGTAGCAAAGGTCATGGATTTTAACAGAATACTTTTTCTTTTGTAATAAGTAAAACAATTCCTGCATGTTTATGTTGTACCATTTCATGTTGTTGATCTATTCCTTCGTCGTCTGCAGCCATCTCTTCCTCATCGTCACTCTGAGAGACAGAAAAGTTGAAATCAAATTAATTCAATAAAAAAAGAGGGGCTATTCCTGAGACAGGCATCATAAAAAGAGCATTCAAACAGGATACAAAGACAGTACATGACGGACGAACCTTGTGGCAATGCACAGTGGCAATGCATTAAAAAAAAAATCAGTGACCAAGTAGCAGAGTCATAGTTAAGTCCACCAGTGAGTCCAATTTCTTAAGTCTGTGGATCAGTCAATGCAAAAAACTACAATTTCATGATGTGGATCCTCCCCTTTGTCATCTGATATCCCGCCAGAATGGTAATCGGCCTGAGTTAAAGCAAAAGGCTACACAATAACTATCCTGATAATATGATTTTAATGAATCTAACACAACCTCATCGTCACTGTAATACATTATACTCTCACCCACCATTCGATCTTCATTTGAAGCTTCATCACTGGGTGAGTCAGAGTCTGTAAATTGATAAAATCACACAGCTGTTACACAGACATTTATACACACATTGATTGTTGGCATTTTCATTTGGCATCTCAGCAAAAAGCTAGGGTTGGTTTATACTGTATATGTCTCAGCTTTTTTAGAGTCAATATTGATTTTATATGTTTTTATAACGTAATTTACATATATTGCCCTACCTGTTATCAAAATAGGAATAATAGCAGCATATACACGAAGTGAAATCTATACATGTACATCTAAAAAACGTTTCAAAATGTTGTAGTATACTCTGCTATAATTCGTGAATACAGTAATGTGAGACAAAAACTAGACCCTCCAGAAAAACGCGATTCTGCGTCGCAGAATTTACCGCATAATCAGCAAAAATGGCGCGATTTCTAAAAGGCCGCATATTTATCAAAAGGCCGCATAATCCCCGCATTTTCTACACAAATATTGAGAAGAAAAAAAAGTTAACTCGTCTTGACGTGACGTCACCAGCTCGCGCATCACAGAATGTAAACAACACTGTTATAGAGGAACGGTGGAGCTCCAAGATAGAGAAAACACCAAGATGAAAATATCTAATCCATCTCATTTACAGACGAACATTTCTACTAAAAGCCGGGCAAAAAGTGGGGGGAAACTATTCTGCACCCCGTGCAACTGTGTGTTGGAGCATAAAGAAAATCGACGGTGACGACCCACTTTGATCATTCAAACATTCGAAATGCTTTCTGCTGCTGCGGACAAGAAGCCAAACAACCACGTTCACGAGGCATCAACCTCCAAACCCTTTCGAGGGCTACAAGAAACGAGGTGAGTAGCCTACAATATTGAAGCTGCAAATAAGAAACGAGTAAAATGAAAACAGAATGAGGCGGAGAAGTGTGTGTGTGTGTGTGTGTGTGTGTGTGTGTGCGTGCGAACATGTGACTTATCAGTAACTTTAGACATCGTAAAACAATTTTAAACAAGATTTTATTGTAGATTATACATTTTACTGATACCAACTATATAATATTTACCTTAGTTCTTTAAAAATAAAATAAAATAAAAAAAATATATTTTTTGGAAATATATTTTTTAATTTATTTTTAATTTTGAATGACAATCAAACATGTGGGAAGAAGGGGGGCGGGGCCCCTAGCGCCCCTATGGGCCGGCCGCCACTGCATGTAGGCCTACATCTAAAAAACCTTTCAAAATGTTGTAGTATACTCTGCTATAATTAGTTGAATACAGTAATGTGAGACAAAAACCACCAAATGAAATACGTCTTGTATGGGCAGTTCATCCCGTTCGTCCAATATGAAGAGAAAACCTGTCCTTACCTGTCACAAGTTGTGCCTCCATACGGGTCCTCCGGTACCGTTTTGTAGTCCTGGGAATATCTACCTAAATCTGACAAATATCTTTTGTACATTCTCAGGTTTTCTCTCTTTTTGTGAATGAGAATCAAAATTAAATAACTTTTTCCAGGCACGGATTATTCTGCCGATGAGGATAGCTGGTGAGTGGTGACGTGCGCGTGCCCAACTTTCGCCTCGCGCTTCCCGCTTCTCTAGCGTTGCTAGGATACAGACCGCAGTGCCAACTGCAATCTCCGGATTGTAATCACTTTGTTGCCACTACTTAGAGCTACTTTTGAACACAAAAATGTACGGGCTCTATGAATTTAGCAATGATACAATCGAAGTTGGCCGGTTAAATTTAATTGAGGGGGAGTACGATCCTGAATTGGACAAGGAGTATCTTGTCTGGTGGCCCCAAAATGGGAAAAAGATGGCTTGGACTGCGAAAGTGTTATCAACTGGCGGTAAGTTTGCATATTTAAAAAGATCATACATGTACAGCTTATCATTATTATTATTATTAACAGTTGTTAGGCCTATGTTTTATTTGTTAATATATAGCAGTGGCGGCTAGTCAATAGAGGTGCTATGGAAAGTTTTATATTTATAATAAGTACAATACTATTTAGTATATCAAATCTAAACCATTATATGTTTCATTAGAATAATTACCCTCTCTCGTCTGGGAATTAAGCACCCCAGCGCATCTTCCACAGCCCCACCTAAAATATGTTTCACCAGCTTCCACTAATAAATAGTTTAAATCACCTGGCTACATAGGTATTATCAGATAAGTATCATAAGTATACTAATGGGTGTAGCATGACCATATGTTATATTTTCCTATACAGAGTATCATTACCAACATATTGTCATGTAAGCAGACAATGTGACTCACATACAAATGTNTTGTTACTGCCAAAAGAGTGTAGTTGTTTTTATTTCATATTGCACTACAAGTGCACTACTTAGAACTTGATTGTTCAGGCTACAATAAAGATGCCTGTCAAAATGTCTAAACACATCTTTTGTGTTTTATTGTTCAGCTACATTTCATAATGATAATTGCTACAATGATGGGGAGTTGTCTTTTCTCTTACTGTGCCACAGAACAACACAACAACTTGTATTTGTATTATTATTATTTTTAAAGTAAAGTAACTTGTTACTAGTTACTTTTATAATTTAGTAACTAACAAAGTAACTAGTTACTTTTTTGAGAGCAGTAACTATAACTATTACTAGTTACTTTTTAAAAGTAACTTGCCCAACACTGGAAATTATGCAGCAGACACATAAATGTACTACATATTTCAACATTGGAATATGGTGAGTATGTGCAGTGGACAAATGAATTATTGGATACGTCCGAATGATCTTAAATTAAATAGACAGAACTGAGGTAATTGTTTTTGTAGCCAAAGAGGAACAAGTGAAAGCACGGACAGGACAGAGGCATAAAATACAAATATGAAACCTGAAAATGAGCATAATAGGAACTTTGAGAAGACGTGTTCAGGTTATAGGCATCAATCCCCCAGAAAACTGCAGGTTCTTTTAAATCGAGGTGGAGGCCTTTCCCATCTCCTTGGCATAGAGTTGATCAGGTTGTTGATTGTGGCCTGTGGAATGTTGGTCCACTCCTCTTCAATGGCTGTGCCAAGTTGCTGGATATTGGCAGGAACTGGAACACGCTGTCGTATACGCCGATCCAGAGCATCCCAAACATGCTCAATGGGTGACATGTTAGGGTTAGAGTTTAACTGACTGGTTTCGGACCCCCCCAGACCCCCCCAATAAAGCAAAACTGCACGTTTCAGAGTGGCCTTTTATTGTGTCCAGCCTAAGGCACACCTGTGCAATAATCATGCTGTCTAATCAGCATCTTGATATGCCACACCTGTGAGGTGGGATGGATTATCTCGGCAAAGGAGAAGTGCTCACTATCACAGATTTTTTCAGATTTGTGAACAATATTTGAGAGAAATGGTTATTTTGTGTATGTAGAAAATGTTTTAGATCTTTGAGTTCATCTCATGAAAAACGGGAGCAAAAACATAAGTGTTACGTTTATATTTTTGTTCAGTGTAGTTTTGCCATGGTGTTAGGTTATTCCACACTAGTTAAAGTAAATCAAATATACACCCCTGTCAGAAGTGGTCAAAAGAATATAGTTAATAAAATCTGCCTCTTTCTCCTAGCTACCATTCAACATGAAATGGAGCTGAGACACAAGAACGACCTGCTCCGCATTGAAGCGCAGTCCAAAGCCCAAGCCCAGGTGGAGAGGGAGAACGCAGACATCATCAGGGAACAGATTCGCCTGAAAGCTGCTGAACACAGACAAACTGTCCTTGAATCTATAAAGTGAGGGCAAAATGAATTTCCTTAATCCTCAGAGTAACTGGCATATATCTCCTATCTCCCTCAGCTGGAAGTGAAATTCCAGAGGGTGTCAGCAAGCGAGGTTTCCACATTGGAGGCAGTCAGTGTGATAATTGTGTTTTGTTCCCGGCAGGACGGCAGGAGTTGTGTTTGGGGAGGGATTCAGGGCCTTCATCTCCGACGGGGACAAAGTCACAGCCACGGTAAATCAATGTCAGATCTGTCACACTTTCACCACAAGAGGACTGCAGAGGATTATGTGTAGCTGTGGTCTTCATGCTGTACAGTATATTTGAAGATGCATGTGTTGGCCTATCCACAGGTTGCTGGGTTGACTCTGTTGGCAGCAGGAGTGTATTCAGCCAGGAATGCCACAGCGGTGGCCGGCCGCTTCATAGAGTCTCGTCTTGGGAAACCATCACTGGTCCGAGAGACCTCCAGGATAACTGTTGTAGAAGGCATCAAACACCCAATCACGGTCAATATACATACTTATTTCCATGTTTTCACTAATCATGTTTTTGGTTGAACCTGCTGATCAAATTAACCATATTTTGCTAACGAAGTAGATGCAGGCAGCATATATCCACATAGAGATTATTTAGTTTTATTTGAACATTTTCTCGAGCCTTGTTTTAATTCAGATTTTTTTACTTCGGCCTGTAAATCATGGTAGTTCATCAAATGTATTTTTTTTTTTACCAGACATTGTTAAAATCGATGTGTTATCCATGGGACATCTGCAATATATTCACGTATTCCTTCTAAATTGACTATATGTGAGGGGTATTTAAAAAAATCCCCCAAAATCAGTTTTTAGACTAAACATAGCTTTATATATCTATAGCAAACCAGAATAAAAAAGTGTTAAAGGATTCATGTAGATGTTCTGTATATTATGGCTAGATAATAAGAAATTATATTAAAATATTTATTGGACACAATAACTATGACTGTTTTAGCCATTAAATGATTTGTCACCATCCAACTCCCTTATTCTAATTTGTAGACAACCAAGCGTCTGAGAAGCAGACCTCAGGATGCCTTGGAGGGCGTGGTTCTCAGCGTGAGTTATTTACCCTGCATGGATTTTATTGATATATTTTAAATTCAACATTCAAATGCTCTTTTTAAGACTTTGTGAAAAATGCTGTCATTGAATTGTTGATTACACAGGCCAATTTGGAGGAACGGGTAAGGGACATTGCCATCGCCACTCGTAACACCAGGCAGAACAAAGGCTTGTACAGAAACATCCTGATGTATGGCCCCCCTGGAACTGGAAAAACACTCTTTGCCAAGGTATGACTGGCTTTTGGATTTTCTTTTCTTTTCCTTTTTTGTTGAAAACATTTAATCAATATTTTTGATACATTTTGAGTATATTTCTTTCATTAATTAAAGATGGTGCCCCTTTGTAAAGCAGTATATTAAGCTTAATTGTTACATGATATTTTTAAGACTGTTGTGCATTTCTATTTTTCCTTTATTGCCTCTCTGTTCCTTTTTAAACAAAGCACATTCTGTTGCCTTTCAGAAACTGGCTCTCCATTCAGGGATGGACTATGCCATCATGACAGGTGGGGACGTGGCACCCTTGGGGCGCGATGGAGTCACTGCCATGCACAAGGTGTTTGACTGGGCCAGCACCAGCAGGCGAGGGTACAACACTTTAATATGCTTCATTTACACTCAATAAATTAGTGCTATAAAGTGTATCATCTTCTGAATATTGACTCTGAGAGTTAATTAGTGTAGACTGTATTTTATGTTGCATACAAAGCTGCCGTTATCTTGCTGCTCTGATTTAAAGTAAGGGGATTTACATACAAAATGGCAGTTTTTTTAAGCACATTCCCTTTGATGTTCTCTTATTCACTGCAGCGTCTTGCTCTTCGTGGATGAAGCCGATGCGTTCCTGCGTAAGCGATCCTCAGTGAGTTCAGCTGTTACCATATGCATGGTGATGATGCCCTGTGTTTTCATCAAATATTCATGAGTCATGATTTTTGCATTGCAGGAGAAAATCAGTGAGGACCTCAGAGCCACCCTGAATGCATTCCTCTACCGCACTGGGGAGCAGAGCAACAAGTCGGTATCTTACGTGATTCGCTGTGCATGGCTTGGCGTGAAAAGGATCATTGCCATGAATGAAAAGGTCACTGGCTGGGTCTAAAAAGTCTCATTCTCTCTCTTCAGGTTCATGCTGGTGCTTGCTAGTAACCAGCCAGAGCAGTTCGACTGGGCCATTAATGACCGCATTGATGAGATCGTAAACTTTGCGTTACCTGGTCAAGAAGAGAGGGAAAGATTGGTGCGCTTGTATTTCGACAAATTTGTGCTGGGTCCTGCCACTACAGGAAGACAGTGAGTACACTTATTGTATATTAATTTCAAACAGCTACTGCTGCAGTTCTGTTGCAGAGGATATTTTCTACTGCAAATGAAATAATTGGTCTCTCGAGGTTGCATTATGTTGTTTGTAATGTGTTCCGTCCTGAAACCAAAGTTGTGTCTGAATCCTTACTTATTGCTTTATTAAATGTTGTTTAAGTCCTCAGGAAGTTTAGCACAGAAGCTGTTATAAAGTGTATTGGACAGTTAAAACCAGTAAATGTGCAGAGGATCAATGATCAGAAAAAAGCTAAGCTCAAGCCTTATCTCCTATACAAACGTCTTGTGCTTTAATTCAACAGGAGATTAAAGTTAACTCAGTTCGACTATGGCCAGAAGTGTTCAGAAATTGCAGTGCAAGCAGAAGGCATGTCTGGTCGTGAAATCTCCAAACTTGGTGTGGCCTGGCAGGTGAGTTGAACAGCCTGATGACACAAAATATGAATCTGCTTCGTAAAACATCTAAAGCAAACCTTTGTACTGATTTTGTTTTCCTTGAAGGCTGCCGCATACTCCTCTGAAGATGGAGTTTTGACCGAAGCAATGATTGACTCAAGAGTTGAGGAAGCCGTCAAGCAGCATGCACAGAAAATGGACTGGCTGCTTATGGAAGCAGGTGCGAGTGTTGGCAAGTTCGGTGTAATTGTCCCTAAGGAAATGGCTGCAGAAGTCACAGCCCAGGAAGCTGCTTCACTTGCACAAACCGAAGACACAACCCCAACTATACAACAAGTCCTTCCCCTCATTAATGTTGTGGGCAGCGCTGCCCAGGTGGAAGCAGCTGCTCTGCCTACAGAATTAGAGGCAGAAGCTATCCTTAAAGAAGCATCCACTTTGGTTAAAGAAAGTGAAGCTATTGCAGTTGAAACCATTGTTGAAACAGCCTCTGCTGCTCCGTTGGTGCAAGAGGTTGAAGCCATTAAGGACCTAACTGAGGTTGTTGGTACAGCTGTAGCTACAGACACTGTTGTGCCTGAGGTGAAAGAAGTAGTCGCTGAAGTTATAGAGGCTGAGAGCATACCAGCTTCCATCGCCAAAGAGACCGTTGCTGTTAGTAGAGAGACCGAGGCCATTGAAGCAGTCAAGGAGGAAACAGATGTTCTAGCACACTCGGAAACAACAGTCACTGCTGTTGCTCAGGAAGAGAAATTAGATGCCGTCATCTCTAATGTTGTCCCGGAACCAGAGGCTACAGTCGTTGAAGTCCAAGAAACCGAGTCCACTGCCACGATCATTGCTGCTGTAGAATCTGAAGCCATCAAAGTTGTCGAGGTAGTAGCAACTGATACAGGAAACGTTGCAGAAGAAATTGCAAGCAATGTGGCTCAAGAGGCTGAAGTAATAGCAACTTATGTGGCCAGGGTTGCTGATGCCGTAGCAACCGTCAGTGAGGAGATTGAGGCAGCAGTCGCCAAGGAGGTCGAAGCTGTAGAAAGTTTGGTTGTCAAGGACTCAAATGAGGTTTTGGGGGAAACTGTGTCTGAAACTTTAGAGATTACTAAAGAGGCCCAAGAGGTTGTAACAGATGTGGTCAAGGAGTCCGAGAGTATTGCTACAGAGCTTGTTAAGGAGGTTGAACCTTTGATTGCTGAGACAGCTGCCAAGGAAGCTGAATTAATCTCAACAGAAACTGAAGCCAAGGAGCCTCAGACTTCTGCCATTGGGTCTACCACAGAGGTTCAGACTTTGGCTACAGAGATTGCTGCCAAGGAGGCCGAGGTCACATCTGCAGAAGTTTCCAAAGAGGCGGAATTGACAGCCGCAGAAGTTTCCAATGAAGCGGAAGTAACATCCGCCGAAGTTTCGAAGGAAGCTGAAGTAACATCTGCAGAGGTTTCCAAGGAAGCAGAAGTCATAGCTGGAGAAGTTTCCAAGGAAGCAGAAGTCACACCAGAAGAGGTTACCAAGGAAGCCGAAGTCACACCAGAAGAGGTTTCAAAGGAAGCCGAATTCCTGACAACCAAGGACGCAGACACTGTCTCTACAGAAGATGTGAAACTGCCCGAGACTGCTGAGGTTGGTGCCCAAACAAGTCCAGCCACTGAGAAGTCGGCTGCCTCTCAGACCAGCACTGAAGAAGTAGAAACTGAGAAGCCTCTTTCAAATGAACAGAGTGGGGATGACAAGGACAAACCCCAAGCCAAGCCTAGTCCAAAGAAATGATCACTTGATGTGGATGAAATGCTGTTAACGCTAGGTGTGAAACACTTACTTTGTAGTCTGTCTGCTATTCTATCAAAATGTTTAACACAATTACTGTGAACGGCTTCAAGGTAATATTTGTATTCTGGCCTGTAAGTTTGTAAGAATCTGAGTAAAAGCATTTGTGGACCACTACAATTGTTATGTATTGCATTTTTGCTTTCTTTCTTTCTTTCTGTCTCTCTTTTGGTTGTCATTGTCGTTTTCAAAATCTGGCTGTGTGACATTTTGAGAGTGTGCCCTCTGAAAGGGTAGTTCTCATGTGTTTGCTGACCGGTACTGGCAAGAGTTCAAAAGCACCTCTGTAAAAATGTTGGTTCAGAACATTTCTTTCCTGGCACTTCTTAGTAAGAGTGCTGGTGCAGACCTGCCCTTGACAAGTTTTTTTACCTTTCATAAAATGACTGTGGGTTCTGCCAGCCAATTATTTAAATTTAGTCAAGCTAGTCTCCAACAATGCTCAAGTTACTCACATTTTTTTGTCTACTAGTGTTTTACACTTACGCTTTAGACCCAGGTAACTTTTCCTCGAAGATGTGCTGAACAAGAAAATAAAAACTGCATAATTGATGCAATCAAATTCCTGACCGCATCAAGAGAAAACTTCCAAATGATTCGGTAATACATGTGTTAGTGTATTTTGCTTTTCAGATGTGAGGATTTATTTTTGACTTTTCTCAGTTTTAAATATTTTTAATCTGTTGCTTTGAGACTGCTTGTTAGACACTACAAACAATTCTCTTACATTATTGTATTACAATATAAGGGTTGAATTTATGAGATTAATCAATTATAAAAATAGTTATTAGTTTCTGTCGTAGTTCATCTTTTCAAAGAATGATGGAAAACCAAGTTAATATTCGGACTGCATGCAGATAAGAGGTATATTATATGCTAAAGAGTATCAGCCAAGATGAAAAAAATACCCTCGCTGCCACTGCAATGGGTCATATCCTGCTGTTGATAATAGTGGAGGGCTTTTCTCAGTAGCGTCAGCATGCCATTGGCATTGTTAGTCATTTCAGAAGTGTTGTTAGTCAGTGCTTAGGACATTTATGTCGGAATAATAACAAACCAAACTGAAGTTTTCAGCAGGACCTCTGTATAATCTGCCTGTTGTTGTTGCTGCTCTGAAATAACCTCTCGCTATGAGAATGTGTTCCCATCTTCGCTCACAGGATTGGAGTGACACAATCAAACATCAGAGGTCACTGTTGTGCTTCAATGGCACTTTTAATAAAACAGACATTTCATCCTCACAACAGCAATGTCTGGACAGAGAGGACGAGGGGGGGCTGTGTGAGGGTTCCCTCTGCTGATAGGCTGGTTGCTCCTGATAAGTGAGAGGGAATTGGATAAAGAAAATTGAACTGCGCTGTTGAGCACAGTGTAGGGAAGATGGAGGGGTGTGTGTGTATTGAACTCGTCTTGGCTGGCATTTATTTCTCCTCCCGTGTCGACTAAAATAATGGTAATATTGCAAAGAGAACCCCGACCACAACCGAACACGCTCCCCTCCCCCTCACATATTTACAGGAAAAAATAATACATTCAGTTAATTCACTAAGTAACAAAGCTAATTAATCTGTGTTTTAGCAGAAATCACATGGTTTCACATCCAGTTTTCAAACAGACTCGTTTTCCAGTTCCATTCCTATAATCTTTAACCACACAGTCCATCATTTAGGTTTTCTATTGAACGACAAAAATCCCCCCACGCACCCTCTTCTTAAAGACTGTTAAATCCCCCTTGCCTGTATTTATAACTATGTACAGAAGCAGCAATCTAGCCATCACAAAAACCCACCCACCCACCAATCTGATTCGTCCTTCCCAACACCAACAAAGTCCCAATCCCACCCATTAAAGAAAAAAGAAAATCCTGAACCCGTCTTTGCCGCCCCGTTCCAATACGCTGCCCACATCTTACCCTGTTCTAAAAGAGCATGCCAAGTTTAACAATGAACACAGAAAATGTCTCTATACAGAAAAAACACCCTTAAAAATGTTTTTTTTTTTCTTCCTCCTCCCACGATGGTGGACATGGACATTAGACAAGATTTCAGTGGCAACAAATAATCATCTTGTTCCATTTTGGGATTTTTTTTTAGTGCTGACAGGAGTCAAGTTTAGTCATAAGAAAGTTGTGTCACAGGGTTTTAAGGGGGCCATGTTGTGAACAGTGGGAGGGCAGTTTTCCAGGTTCTCTGACGCAACAGCTGGCCAAGGGGGAGTTTGGGAAAGGGGGTGAGGGGCTTTGGAAAGGAGAATAGGGAATGGGGTGGAGGAATATTTTTTTGTTTTTTTAGAGTCAGAGATGGCGGGGACTAGGGTGACCGTTGTGGTAGAGCTTCTGCTTGATGTGGACCATGTTGCCACTGGAGTCCTCCAGCTGTCTGAGCTGGGCTCGGCGACGGAGATCTCGAAGGTTGCAGAACTGGGGCAGCCATGACCAGGACGGAGTATCTGGAGAAGGAGAAGAGGACAGGATGGTCAGAGGAGGTAAGCATTAGTGTGTGATCAATAGCTGAAGTTGTCTTTTAACACTAGATATTTGCCAAACTTTATCCACCTCTGATGGATATGCCAATTAATTGGTCGTCTTTTGAAAATTACCTTTTCTAAAGTTTCTATAATGTGAATTCCTCAAAATAGAGCAAAGAATCACAGGGTGACTCACAATTTCAAAGACACATATGGCAAGAAATACAACATCTATGAGCCTAAAACTATAAAGTGTCTTTATTACAACAGCAGAAATCAAACCTGGAGTGTATTGCAATATAGAGTGCTTCACTGAGTCTGCTCCATGGGTTTTAAAAATATATGAGTCCTGCATTTAGCTTTTAAAGAAAAAGAAAAACCCAATTGAAGATTAAAAGCCTAGAAAGCGAGTACTTGTAAACAAAGTTGATGGCGGTGTTTATTATATGATGTTTATTTTCTCAGGGTTATTTATGGCCAATATTTTTCACCATATCACACTCAAAATAAATGAATGATACCATACAGAATATACAGCCTTAAACAACGTGAACCAAAGTAAGTTTTATTTTTAAAGCTTATTTTTGGGCTTTTATTTGAGAATTGAGTGAGATAGGCGTATAAGGATGACATGCAAAAAAAGATGTTGCCAAACATTTAACTCATACTTATTTGCCTTTATATGACATAACTAGGTCAGTATGATAATAAGAGTCTGAGCATTGTAAACACAAAAACATGAACGCATGCCAATTCTTGAATGACAAACAGGAGGAAAATTGGCAAGAAAGTACTTTCGAGTTCAAATAAGAAGGAAACCCCCTCTACAGCCGTGCAACAGAAAGTATCATTAATATGTCACAATAAATGTCACATGTCCAGTCACAAGTTGACAAAGTGTAACTGCTGTGTATGTGATGTATTAGAAAAAACATTGTCTTGCTTTTCTCATTGTGCATACAAGAGCAGATAAAACTGAATTCAGGATTTCGGAGACTCAGTGAGTGCTAGTGAATTGTCCGAGCGGCCACTTCGGTACCGGCCCACCGGGAAAACTCCCGGGATTCTCAATGGCCAGGCCGCCCCTGCTGTGAAATAAATTGTCCTTCTCCATGTTCAAGTGAATGAGTATATGCTTTTTCAACAATCATTTTCTACCGTAATGCTGCTTTAAGAATGTATGATTAAAGGCTGATATTGGCTCTCTATTTATTTATTTTTAAATGATGGGGGCTCGTTATTTTGTCAATCTCTTCAATACTTTATCTTCAATTATACTTCTTATCACCATTCTGAGATAAATGTTGAATATGTATTTAAAACTGTGCATGCCAGAATTTTAAATTACAGCATTCATTCGGTAAAAGTCCTCCAATACCCTCCAAACGGACGGAAACTGCAAAGGACTCATATAACCTGTATTATTAATTCCTATCATCAACATTATCATGAACTGAATTCTATGAGATGTAGGCATGTTTTCTGTGATTTTAAACTTTAAAATATCTGCAAAGCGCTTTAGAGATTGGTAGAAAATGTTGCTAAATAATTTAGCCTTCTGCTAATGTAGCTGTTAGCTAGCTGTAGCTGTACGTTTTGGCAACAGTTGAACAGTTAGCCACATTGCCTCCAGCTCTAAAACACTGCTAATATTGTCAGACTCTCTGTTGAGGTATAACATACAGACATGTATAGTGTATGACTCCATGTAATACTGTGTACCATATTGTTTAGGTAACTAGCTGCGACTACTAACTGTGTTCATTGGTTAGCGCTGTACCACATGATTGTGATGTCACTACCTGGGGTATAAGACTGTTGGAAGTCACTCCCCTTCTCTCTCTGTCAAATAACGCTGTGATGAATGGCTAAACTTGAACTGCTGAGATTATTCACCTTTCTGCTCCAGGAGACAAAAGGTATAAGTCTAAATCTGCTAACACTCTCTTTTAGATAAATCCTTCTTCCTTTGTAGATTACTTTGCGTAGTGGCAGTTATTGCCAATGCATAGCAACTTTTTCCTGAAGGATATTCGACTTTTGTATTAGGCTTACACTGAAGGGAAATACGCGCGCCTCTGCATTTGTAGAACAGCCAATAGGATCTCTCTGTCTGAAATGACCTTTAATTGGTCAAAGTCCCCCAATGTTGGCCACATTTTCTAAAGCCTTAAAACAGACCCAAGAGATGGTGCGGAAGTCTCGTTTCTGTTAGGCCACTTGAATAACAATATTCTGAAAGGTTATTATTGAACTTTTACCAAATGATGTAAATGAATGCCTACTGTAGCTTTAATTTAATTGTAAACAATACATAAAATATCTTCATGAAACCTTATTCCAGAATATGACTCAGAATCAGATGTATTGATGTTTAGAAGTGGGCTAAAGCTCAACACAGACCTCAAACTAGAAAAGCTAATGTTTGACATCAGACCTCTAACAATGTAATTCTGGGAAGTAAGGATTAGATTTTCACAGTAAGTAAGGTCAGACGGACAGAGACTAGATGAAAGATTGGAAAATTGAAATATTGGATGAGACACTAAAAAGCATCAATCTCTTCAAGTACACCGTGATGTTGCCCTTGATTTTTCACATTTGTGTCCAGAGCTGTTGCACATGTGACCTGCATCCCGGCATCATTTATT